GGGGGGGGGGGGGGTGAAGCCCCTAAAGCCCCCCCGGCTACATGCCTGCCTAGACCTGTGCCTGACTGTATCCCTCCCTCCTTACACTCCCTCATATTTTTGTTGCTACTTCACAACTGTAATTTTGCTATTGTTATGAATCATCATATAAATATCTGATATGCAGGAAGTATTTTAATTCACTGGCCCAAATTTGGCACAAATACCCGATACACCCAAATTTGAATATTGGTGGGGTTGGAGGGGGGGGGATTGATTTTGCCATTTGGGAGTTGTTGCTGGGATTTATAGTTCACCTAAAACAAAGAGCATTCTGAACCACAAATGATGGAATTGAACCAAACTTGGCATACAGAACTCCCATGATCAACAGAAAATACTGGAAGGTTTGGTGGGCACTTTGAGTTTTGGAGTTGTAGTTGACCTACATGTAGAGAGCACTATTGACTCAAACAATGATGGAACTGGACCAAACTTGGCACAAATATTCAACATACCCAAATGTGAACACTGGTGGAGTTTGGGGGAAAATAGACCTTGACATTTAGGAGTTGTAGTTGCTGGGATTTATAGTTCACCTAAAATCAAAGAACCCCGTGATCCCCACCAATGATAGAATTGGGCCAAACTTCCCACACAGAACCCCCATGTCCAACAGAAAATACTGCTTTCTGATAGCCTTTGACAACGCCCCCTCTCGACGCCCCCAGGGGTCCCAACTTCCAGGTTGAGAAAAGCTGCTCTAAATAGTATTTTGTATCTTAGTCTTGTAATATATTTCTGTATTTTAGCCTTTAGTATAGATTCTAATGATTTGAATGTATAATGATTTTTGTTAGTTTTATAAGTTCATATTGAGATTGTTTTATTCCCTGTTTTTGATTTGATTTGTCATTTGGCTGTCTTTGGCACTGAATGTTTGCCACTTTGCCATTTTGTTGGAAACCGCCCTGAGTCCCCTCGGGGAGATAGGGCGGGTTACAAATCAAGTATTATTTATTTATTTATTTATTTATTTATTTAATGAGACTGTACCCCACTCTCCTTAGGCTGCTCTATAACCGTAATAAAGATCTGTTTGTTTTACGTTTGGATGAGTTATTCAGTGAACATAGACTGTGTTTTAATGACCACCCTGGCATAAAAAAAGAATACAGCAACCAAAGATAACTAATTAAAGCTATTCATCACAACCTGTTTTTCTTAAGATGAATGATATAAGTCTATAAATAAATGAAATTATTTACCTGGAAAAATGATTATTTCATATTAGCCACATAATAACAGGTTACATAATTAGTAACACAATATTCCTGGGTTTTGCACTGAGCTCTGTAGCATGATTTGACTGTTTCAAATGAAGCAAACAGCAGTGTTCTTTAACAGACATCAGGCAGAGAATAGGACTAGATACTTCCTTTCCATGAATTTCCACAGGAAGCAAAGCAGCAGTAATTGTTAACAGTATGTTCATAGCTGAAATCTTTTTTTTGATCATTTTTGAAATTGTGTCCTTTATTGGTATTTTGGGAAATGGATTCATTATAGTTGTGAATGGACGCCAATGGTTCCAAAGCAGGAAGATGACCCCTTCTGATTTCCTCTTGACCAGCCTGAGTGCCTCCAGATTTATCATGCAGTTGGGTCTTCTGATAAACTACATTGTGTACTTCAGTCTAGATGTCCATTTTGTCTCAGATGATGTCATGTTCTTTTCCTGGATGTTTTTCAACATGACCAGCCACTGGTGTGCCACATGGCTGAGTGTTTTCTATTGTGTAAAGGTCACCAACTTTGCCAACCCCCTCTTCCTCTGGCTGAAAGCAAGGATCAATATGCTTGCACCCAGGCTGCTTGGACTGTCCATAGCTGTTTTCGTGGCCTTTTGTCTTCCTTCACTTGTTGATTATTTTGGACACACAAAGTGGTGCAATCTGACAGAAACTCTGCCGGGGAATGCTAGCCAAAGAGAGGGTTGTGTCACTGCTGCCATTATTTTTCTTCCAATTCAATTTTCTTTTTATGTCATAAATTTGTGCCCAAGCACAATTGCAATCATTCTTTTGCTTGTCTCTCTGTGGAGACACACAAGAAATCTCAAGAAAAGCGGTGTTGGTGTTCAGGACCTCAGCACTCAGGTTCACATTAAAGTCATGGCCCTTTTGTTGTTCTGGTTTTTCTTCTACTTTGTAGATTTCATTACTTTGACAGTATATACTGACCGCGTTATTCATATTGGGGAAGTTCAAGGACTGCTTCTTGGCATCTTGATGTCTGCATTTCCTTCTGCACACTCTATTATATTGATAATAAACAATCCTAAACTGAAAGAAATGTATGCTTACGTCATTAAAAAATGTTTGCTCATCATAGACATCAGGCACAGAACATGGAAAAAAGGGCCTTCCGTACCAGACAGGAAAAGACATTCCCTCCCCATTTAAGTGTGTGTATATAATTGTGCATGTATTAATATGTATGGACAGTAGATAACCAGAACTGAATAACTACGTATTAAAATCATTGGGAACATTGGTACTTCCACAAATCCTAATCATCTTGAAATTACACACATATAAGATGGAAATCTGATGTAAGTTACATTGGTAGATATTGTTTCTGTTTTGTACTGTCAAGTCATTTCCAGCTTGCAATGACCGTAAGGCAAGCCTATCATGAATGTTTTCTTTGGCAAGGCTTGTTCTGAGAGAGTTTGCCATTGCCTCTTAAGAGTGTGACTTGTCCAAGGTCAGCCAGCGAGTGCCCATGGCAGAGTGGGGATTTGAACCCTGATCTCCCAAAGTCCTGATCCAACAAATAATGCATCTGTAAAGGAGTACATGACCGGTGGACCTAAAATTTAGAACATAATGTACAGATGGATGTATGGGGAAAAGGTAGGGTAAAGATATGCAATTTAGTTTGTATGATAATTCAAAAGAAAGTATGTACAAGATAATGGTAATTTAAAAGAAAATATGTATAAGGTGATGTATAGGATGCTACTTAACCTCAAATAGGATGTTGAATGTTTCTAATCAATGTTGAGGTTGTCATGATAAGGAAATATCTTTTTTCACATATGAACTTCCAATAGGGTAAAAGTTGTTGATCTATTATATATCTATTGATATATAATAGATCAATTATATTGATATATAATAGATCAAATGCAAACATTTAAAAGGTTTTGCATTATTGATAAAGAATTGAATATAAAGGATGGAATATTTCTTCGATACATGATGACATCAACAATAATATTGTTTGTCCAAATTTGGAAATGAAGAGAACCATTGATGATGAAGAATGCACTGCTGAGGTTGTTTGCTTTGCCCAGGTTGCTAAATTGATGTGATCTTCAAAAGATTTTGAAATTGAAGAGTTTCTGAAAGTCTGGAAACAATTTATGTACATTTTGAGCAATAGGAAATCTAATTTAATAATATTAATTATTTGCTATCTCTGAAATGTTAGATTAATATATTTTAATTGTTGTATTTTGCATTACATTTAGAGTGGAGGGGGGCAGAGTTTTTTGTTCCTTAGTTAGTTAGGTTGTGTTTATTGTAATAGTTTAGCATGATAGTACAGAAATGTTAAGGTTTTAGTTTAGTTTAGGTCTGACTATATATTTATATTATCTATGTATAGTTTTTCTTTCTTTCAGAATGTTGATTATACTGTTGTGAATTAGATAATAAATATAAAATCTCTTAAAATGTCATGATAAAGTGGTTGTAATTAATTTTTGGAATCTATGGTAGAAGAATGATCTGCCACCTGTAAATAACTGTTGGCATCTTAAGTGTGAAAATTGTGAAGTAAAAGGTTTTTGGGATTTCAACACTGATATATAATTAGCATATAAAATGGTTCAGAACTCATTTAAAAACTTGGGGAGGGGGTGCTGGTGTTTCATTTCTAAAGTGTTTCTAAAGTATAATTAGAAAAAATAGTTACTATAATGAGAATAATGAAATTTTGTTAGTATTTTGTTATAGTAATTGTGCATAATTACTATAATTGGGGAAACTTCAAGGGCTCCTTTCTTCCTCATTTTTACAGCTATTGGGGTGAAACTCACTACAATGGTAGACCACATTTACCACTCTTAGCCCACCAAATTTCAGAACATTTCACTTATTCATGTATTATTGGGGAATTTTCAACGGTTTTATAAACAAAAAGATTTAATAATAAAGAAAATATGTTCCCATTTTGAAAGTATTATTTCCTGTTTAATTGTGTTGTCGTTACTTTGAAAGTAGTGGTTCTACACCAGGAACTTTGTTTTTTTCACTGAAAACTTTTTTAAATGTGTGGATGATGTTAAATTGGTGCACTGGATAGTAACATGTGCTAGAACGCAATGTCCCTCGCATAAAGAGAAAGTTTTTGCAGTTTAATAGACTTTCACCATGTTTTTATGATAGAACCAATTAGGAAATGACATGTATAATCCAGAAATAAATCATAGTTTATTTGAACTCTGGCTGGCTACAGAGGGGAAAATATCTCTGATGCTGAGCAGTGCACTGAATTCTGGGAAATATAGATAAGAGCAGGGCCTTTTGAATTGTTTGGCATAGTGCTCCTCCCTTCTCAAACTACATTTCACAGAGTTGTGTGCTGTTCTCAGAAAACACTGCTCCCTCTTTTCCCCATTCCTAATACCGGGACTTCTTTATTTTACAGAGGATAGGCAAGGCACTAAGTAGGCCTTTGGCTTTGCTTTCAGCTTTGTTTCCTTGCACTGAATAAGAAACTGACTTTGGGAGCCTTCCGAGATTTACAAAACTAAAACCAAAAAGTATAGCATAAGTTTTGATTCTTAAATTTTTGGTGTGGGCCATGCCCATGTATCGGATATTGCCTCATAAGTAAAAATTTAACAAATTTGATTCGAATTACAAGGCAAACAAAAAATGCACACCTCTAATAAGTATAGAAGGTGCACATGGTTGAGAAATAGGAAGTTTTTTTCAGATGTGGTAATCCATGGGAATAGCGGAATTTAAGTGAAAAATAGGAAAAGAAATCTTGTAGTAATAGGTGCTCTGGGAGCAATTCCAAAATGGACTTGCACATGATGTAATGAGATTTCTATAAATAGGAGCAGCATACCAAATTACAAAAAGTGACACTACAGCAAGTAGCCTTATACCCAGTGCCATCTCATTGCTTCCTTGATTTTTGGATGGAATCTGAATCATTGGTGGTCCAAAAATCCATTCAATAGCATCTGGTAAACTCTGAAACTAGAGCATCATAATTTAATAATCTGAAACTGAGAGGAACAGGGTGTTAGCAGCTGGTGTGAAATGCCCAAGCACTGATTTTTAAAATATATAATAAAGTATTGGATGTTACTTCAGTGTCCATATAAAACCTACACAGTGAACCTTTGTTTGAGGATTATCCCACCCTCAAGAGTTCAGGAAATTCCTCTCTGGGGTGTGTAAAAGGTGACTCACCTGGTGAATTCTGGAAGAAATAATATACAAATTTTGCTATAGATGCACATAGAAACCTTAATAAAAGATACATATATAAATTGAGGAGGGAGCCTAGCTGTTGCTGGTCTGTTGTGGCAAAGACTTTATATAAAAGGAAGGATGCCACTTTATCTCATTCTGCCTTGATGTCCTTTAGGAAACTATAAATTCTTTGCGGTGTGAGTGCTGTGTTCGACAACAGTTGCAGTCCTTTTCTGAGGAAAATAACAAGTGCCTTAGCAAGTCTGCGGCTCTTCCTTTCTCTTTGTCTTTGGATTGCCACTGTCATCTCCTTCTCCTATGGAGGAAAAATCCACCAATAGCGTCATTTATTTGTGAGGAAGAAAATTAGCATCTTCATGAAACCCCTGCAACCAGGGCCGTAGCCAGAAAAAAAATTCGGGAGGGGTTGAAATGGGGGGGGGGGGGGGTGTTGAACCTTGCCTCTTAGCTCACGCTGAAGCAAAGAACACAGCAGAGGGCAGAGCAGCCTTCCATAGCCTGCAGCTCCGCCCCTGTCAACCACCTCCACCAAGTCTGGCCTCCTTAATGAGAGCATTCAACACACACACACACACACAACTTGGTTGCTTCACTACATTGGCTATTGCTGCAAGTAATGACAGTGTGAATTAATTGTCAATATTTGCCTGAGATAGTGCTTGCAGTTCTGGAGGGACTCTTAATTTTTTTACATCTCATAGACTTAGCATGGGGATTTGGTTAACCAGTTAAAATTCATGAGTAAACCAGGTTTTTCAAAAAATCTGAAACATTTCAGCGGGGGGGTTGAACCCCTACCCCCCCCCCTCGCTACAGGCCTGCCTGCAACAATTTTATGTTGAAGTAATGTTTGTCCCTCACAAGGGAGATTTTTCCAGTTCCTCCTTTTGAAATTTTTCCATTTCTTCCGCTCATTCTTGTTGAGCAATGATGCCTTGCATTCTTATAATATCTAAAGCCATTGCCATAGTCTCACTTCTCCAAAATCTTCCTGCATGTTGAATTCTTAAGAAGAGTGGAAATCCCCATGACTGAGTCACAAACACTTTTCTTACGAAGGGAAGGAATAGTTGTGACAGGTATCAAACTTTTTCTCCAGGCCAAGGTTTTGTAACATAAGTCTTGGAAAACTTTAATCCTTTTCCTTCCATGCATAGTGTCTCCTATCATTGATGTATTTTAACAAACTTTATTTCTTGTAGTAGCTTCAAAATTTTATGGAAACAGCTTTTGGGAAGTCCCTTTTACTTCTCCTGGTTCAAAGTCTATGTACTCGGTCTATATCAGGAATGGGTAAACTTTTTTTGCCTTGGGGCCGTTTGCTAGGCCTGGCCAGGATGGTCAGGCTGGGAGGGAGGGCTGGGCCAGGAGGGAGTTCGAGGTAGGTCTGGGAGGAGGCAGGGCTGGGATGGAACAGGGTGATGGAGGGCCAGCGCCGGGGCAGATCACCCTCTGGCTTTCTTGCCAGCATAAGGATGGTGCTGCTCGCCCCATTCTTATGCTGGGAGGAGGGTGAGGCTTAGGAGTTCCATCGGCCCCTGCCCGCCTCTCCCTTCTGCCAGCATCAGGATGCTGTGCCTCATCCTGACGCCGGGAGAAGGGAGAGTCAGGCAATGGGCAAGGGGGCTTTAAAGCTGCCTGCCTCCTTCCCCAGGTGAGGCTTCTCCCAGCATCAGGACAGGGCTGCTCCAGAGGACTCCCAGCTGCTGCATGGCATCTTCTCTCGTCTTTTCGGCATAAAAATATGGTGGGCTGCTGTTTCCTTTTGCCCAAAAGACGGGGAAAAATTGGAGGGCCAGGCATAAGTGACCAGAAGGCAGTGTCCGGCCCAAGGGGCCTTAGTTTGCCCATGCCTGGTCCATATCAATCATTTGCCAGTCCACATCCATTTTTAAAGTTTTCAGTTATTAAAACATATATTGGGAAGTCCCTTTTACTTCTCCTGATTCCAATTTGATGTACTCAGTCTATATCATTTGCCAATCCACGCCCATTTTTAAAGTTTTAAGACAGGAATAAATTCTGTTTCTCAGGACCTCTGAGTCCTTCTCTTCTATTCCACACAATCTTAGATTATTTCTTCTATTATAATCCTTGAGTTGCACAATCTGTTATTTTTATTTTGTGTTCCAATATTTTTTGTAATGCTTTTAGTAGTTTCTTCCAATCCAGAGATCTTGTCTGTTACCTCTTGAATTTCTTGTTTAAGTTTTTGAGATTCCTCTTGAGTGTTTTGTATCATATGTATCATTGGAAGTTTCCTCAGAATAGTGGCACCTAATTATGACAGACTCACTGTTTTAAAAAATTACACAGCACAGTGCAACTGAATTGAAAATTGTTTTTAAAAATCTAACTACGCTCTCTTCCTCTCCCTATTCCTAAGCAGGTTGAAGGTTCTTGGGTAGATATTTAATTTTTTATAAAGGAAAATAACAGACCCTCCTTCTCTCTTTTCCTGACTTCTCTATCTCACAGAGTGCAAAGAGTTCAGTAAAGTGTCAGAGGAAAAGGCAGTTGAGGTTTTTCCAGTAAGTAAACCTAGTAAGGACAGCCACTTTGTATCAGTTGTTCTCTTTCAACATAGCACCACAAGGAAGCTTTATTTCTCTGGTGGAAATTCTTACGGCTAGATTATCCATTGATGAGCTATTCAGAATCAGAGAACATATAATCTAGTAACCACCTACAGACCCACCAAGAAAATCCAACAAATACTACGTTCAGCAAAGGACAAGAGGGATCCTCTCACCTCTGCAGGTGTCTACTGTATTCCATGCAGCTGTGGACAAGTCTACATAGGGACCACCAAACACAGTGCCCAAACACGAATCAAAGGCACTGCAGGTAATTCAATCAGCTATAGCAGAGCACCTGATGAACCAACCTGGACACAGCATATTATTTGAGAACACAGAAATGCTGGACCACTCTCACAACCACCATGTCAGACTACACAGAGAAGCCATTGAAATCCACAAGCATTTGGACAATTTCAACAGAAAGGAAGAAACAATGAAAATGAACAAAATTTGGCTACCAGTATTAATAATAATAATAATAATAATAATAATAATAATAATAATATTCAAAAATTACAACAGCAAAACAACAGAGAGTAAACAATCAGGCACATCAAATCACCTCTCAACAAGATTCCCCCAGGCACTTCCAAGCCATTAAATGCTAATCAAAGTGGTCATGCGGAAGAGCTCGCGGGAACTAGATAAGACAATAGAGTGCGTCGAGAGCAACACAGTTGGCTTGACACGACAAATAAATAATAATAATAATAATAATAATAATAATAATATTCAAAAATTACAACAGCAAAACAACAGAGAGTAAACAATCAGGCACATCAAATCACCTCTCAACAAGATTCCCCCAGGCACTTCCAAGCCATTAAATGCTAATCAAGTGGTCAGTTGAAACATTCACACCTAGCTCCAGCAGACAAGAGTCCTTTGTCCCACCCTGGTCATTCCACAGATATATAAACCCTTTTTCCTAGTTCCAACAGACCTCACTACCTCTGAGAATGCTTGCCATAGATGCAGGAGAAACGTCAGGAGAAAATGCTTCTAGAACATGGCCATATAGCCTGGAAAAACCTACAACAACCTATAATCTAGTAACTTTGTGGATTTCTGAGATTTAGCCCAAACTTTAAAGAGGCCAGTCAAGGTGATGCATTGTAAAATCTGGACTAAAATCGGGTGCACAGTTGCTGTCCCTATGACACTGTAGAAACAACTCCACCTAGAAAGGGCTCCCTGCCCCTTCCATGATCAAGCTTTTATGTTTCTCCATCCATTTGTGTGTACTGTCTTTTATGCTGTAGAAATGTATACTATTGTGTTATCTAATGGGAGAAAAATATATACATGTTCCAAGGGCAAGGAGCTTTACATTAAATGCCCTGGCATAAAAATGTGGGAACTTCATCACTGACAATTGATTGGGCCATTAATAACAGATTCTTCCTACAATTTGCATTGTTTTCCATAGTATTTTCACTGTTCTAGCTATTTAAGAAGCTCAAAATAACAGGGTTTCCTGTGTTGGAGACCAGACAGAAACCAGGAAAATCACATACAGATACATCCTCTCAGAGCTTTTCTTTCTCTAGTCAGTATCAAGAATGGAGTGCAACTCAACTTCTTCACTTTATATCCTTATGTGGAGCATCACAATAATTGGAGATATCATTGCCCTTTTAGGAAATGGATTCATCACAATTGTTCAAGGTCACCAATGGCTTCAAAAAAGAAAGATTTTGCCTTGTGATTTCCTCTTAATTAATTTAAGCACCTCTAGATTTATGATGCAACTTTCGAGTTTTGTGGGCCATATTCTATATTCCATCTCCACAGAGAGAAATCGGCTTTCTTATAAAAATGCATGTGTAATGATTCTCTGGACTTTTATGAATTTGGCCAGCCTCTGGTCTGCCACATGGCTAAGTGTTTTCTACTGTGTGAAGGTTGCTAACTTTACCAACTGCCTCTTCCTCTGGCTGAAGCCAAGGATCAACATGCTTGTGCCCAGGCTGCTTGGATTGTCAGTAGTAATTTCCAGTATCTTCTGTGTTCCTTCAGTCATTGAATATCTTGGACAAAAAGGGGGTAGCAACTTTACTGTAATCTTGCCGGTGAATGTTAGCCAAAATGAGCCCTATAATAAACGTTTATTTCATCTGCAGCTGACTTATACTTCCATAAATGTTTGCATAAGTATAATTGCATCCACTTTTTTGCTTGCCTCATTATGGAAGCACACAAGGAATCTGCAAAAAAGTGGTCTAGGTGGTAAAGACCTTAGCACTCAGGTTCACATGAATGTCATAATAGTGGTGATTTCTTATGTTTTTTTTTACCTTGTATTTTTTAGTGCTTTAATAATTGCAATAATGAATGTTTTGAAGCCTCATAGTCCTGAATTCTTAATACTTGATATTTTGGCAACTTCATTTCCTTCCACACACTCCATTATATTAATATTGACTAATCCCAAACTGAAAGAAATGGCTGCTCGCATTCTGAATATTAGATAAAGTGCTTCTTAAAAAAAAGAGAACAGGACAGCAGATATGTGTCCAAGTAATGGTCTCAGCTAATGAACTAATAATGTTGTCGAGCCACAATACTGCCCCCCCCAGATGTATTTCTCTGTATGTTTATGCTTGTATGTATATTTTGAAGCAAATTGCTTTATTTGCACCTTTTTTAGCCAAATCATAATAAATCTGTGACTTGTCTTCAACCTGGTGAGTTGACATCTCTATCCTGATTTGCATACACTTGCCAGGCATAGATCCTCTTCACTGTGGTCCTACTTATCCACTACAATAAGATCTCAGCTAATGAGCAAAAATATCTGTGCAGAATAGAAGGAATGCATCCATAAAATTAAAACTGCCTGGCTTCAGATCATGTCATCTTGGGATTATACTAAAAATCTATGTTGATAACAAGCATAAAACAAAACTGGGAGTCACAGCCTGGACAAATGTATATTTGTCTACTAATGTGTGAAAAACCAAGAACCACTTAGAGTTGGCTCTAAAGCCAACTCCTTGCCTAGGGAAGCCAGAATCAGTCCCTCCCTGTTGTCCTTCAGGCTGCAGGCTAAAACCTTTCTATTCATACAGGCTTTTAATGATGAAGGTGCTTAAGATCTCATCAGAGCATGCTTTTTAACTTTGAATGTGTTTTGATAGATTTTAATTGTGAAGTTTTTAGTGCTGTTCTGTTTTAATGTTTGCTTAATTGTGTATTTTAAATTGTATAGTAATGCTTTTATGTGAAGCCACTTTGAGTGCCCTTTGAGATAAAGTGGGGTTAAATAAATCTAAAAAGAAGAAGTCGTAGAAGAAGAAGGCATCCCTTTGTCATGAAGAACCTGAATGAATTCATATCTGAAATAATCCTGCACAAAATTTATGAAAACTTCAATCCTGTATTTCATTTTAGCCTTCTGAAACTGGCAGCTAGTGTCATCAACACAATGTCTCACTGCCACCAGCCATGATTGATGGAGATCAGCATTTTGAAATACACTGGACTATTGATTATATATTCTGAAATCTTAACACTTTGTGAAGTGGAAACACTTCTCAGCACAAGAATAAGAATCGATGGTTTCTTAAGATATTCTGCCTCAAGTACTGCTAATAAAAATACATACCAAATATTCAGAAAAAAATGGCTCCTGTTTAGAAAGCTGGGAGGGGGCAGGATTTGTTTGGAGGGGGCAGAATGTCAAGAGAATATATTCTGCCATGGGTTTTTGTTTGAGGTACAATATGTCACAATATTAGGGTTAGGGTTAGGGTTAGGGTTAGGGTTAGTCAATCCTACGGTTTTTCAATCCTACGGTTTTTCTTGTGTGCATTGGAATATTATTTCCATATATGTCTCATCATTCCACTTTAACTGCCAGACCAAGATGCAGAAATCCATGATATACTGTGCCAAGGGACCCATCCGCTGAGCGAGTTGCTGAACTTTGTGGTCAGCCACTTCCTGTATCACTGGACTGCCCCAGGTCAGCTTCATGTGGTCCCTAAACTTCTTGGGGATTGAACCAACTTCAAACTGGAAGCCCACAGTAGCACAGGTCTGGAGAGCAGGCTGAAAAGAAAGACCACCTTAGCATTCTCATTCAGGAATTCTGCTACCCGGGAGGTGATATAATAGTCACATTGGCACATAAAAGCATCTAGCAGCCAGGCCTCCCAAGAGAACTTGTCATGGAGTGCTAGCAATGTTTTCCAGTGCTGGGCTGCTTGGCCGGTGTGGCCTTGTGCATCCTACAGGGCGCCACTTGTAAAGTTTGCAGCTGCTGGCGCAATGACTGTAAATCCATGGTGAAAAAAAAGGTGTGGGTTTGTGAGAGGAGACCAACTTTTTTACCCTAGCTCTGGAACATCTCTTTCACCTAGCATTGCACCAGAGTCCAATGATCCAATAAAAGAATGTTTATTAAAGAAAGCATATAAAAAGGGGAAAAGGACAAAACCAAAATGACAGCCAGGGTATAAAATGCAATACGCAAAAGAAGTAGCAGTAATTCAAAAATGCCAGATTAAACACCGAAACCAAGGAATCTAAAATCACAGAATCAATCCAAAGGTATATTATCCATGAACATGAAAACAGGAATCTCTCCAAGGTAACTTCTCCAAAGGTACATAGGCATAAACAGTAGGGCTGGTCAATTCATTTCGTTAATTCGTTAATTCGTTAAAAAATTCGTTAATTTTTGAATTACAAAGCGATAACAAATCAGTCTGGAGCATTTTTTTAAAAAAAACGAATTTTTAAAGCTATTTTGTAATTGTTTTGTAATTGTTTCGTTATTATTTCAGCTCCTGGCTGCAAAGGGGCCCGAGCAGGGGCAAGGAGAAGGGAAGGCAGGCGAGAGAGAGAGACTGAGCGAGCAAGCTCCCTTCCCGGCCTGGCTTCCTCCCCTTGCTCCCCTGGCTCCCCCCGCCCCCTTCTTCCCCCTTTCCGGCTCACCTGGGCATGCACACCCCACACATGCCCGGCCCGGCGCAGGGGTGGTCCGGCGTGCCCGCTCGGCGGGGCCCTGGCATCCACCGCCCTCAAGAGTTCTTTCTCCCACCCTGGACATTCCATAGATATATAAACCCCATTTTCCTAGTTTCCAACAGACCTCACAACCTCTGAGGATGCCATAGATGCAGGCAAAACGGCAGGAGAGAATGCTTCTGGAACATGGCCATACAGCCCGAAAAACACAACAACCTATCTACTTCGTTGTTTTGGCTACAACAGAGGACAAGGGCTCCTCCTCGAGAACTACATCAGAAGCGTGTCTTCCAAGGCGCAATCCTTTCTCTTGAGCTGTCAAAAGCTCCACGTCTCGCCTCTCTCTCTTAATATACACAGTTGGAAAAGTCTGTCTAAACGAGCCATTCGAGGAACCAAGGCTTGGGCAGTCTCTCCTCCTCGCTTTTCCCTTCCTCCCAACTTCCCCTGGTCCGAGGAAGCGGATCCTGTCCTCCGCATTAACTTTGCAGCCTCCCGAAACTTCCTCGAAGTTGGCCAGCAACAGGCGCTTGGCTGCCTTTCCCTCCTTTCCCGGGCTGTTTGAGCAAAAACACAACGTTGATCTGTCTACACAAGCACCTCGACGTGTCTCCTACCAAGGGACGCAGACCCCTGAAACACAAACAAGGCCCCCACCCCCCAAAAGTGGAGTTTCAGAGAGCCTGCCTGGGCGCAAAGCTCTCCAACTAACTCCCCACTAGTTCTCCAAAGCAGGGCTTTGAGGAAGACGGGACCCGAGGGGCTGGAGGGGGAGAGAGGAGCCTCGACAAAGCTGGGGCTCGGTGGGGAAAAGGGGGAAAGAGGCCCCGTCCGTGCGCCTTACCTGCTTCTCTTTCCAAGCGGGTCTGGAGCCAAGCTCTCTCCGTCTTCTTGTTGTGGGCGCTGCGCTCTGGCCGCCGGGCATGAACTCTGGGACAAACAGCGACGCCCCGCTTGGGAGCCCCCTCCCCGCCTCCCCCGCGGGGCTTTGGGCCGCCTTGGCCCGAGTGGGTGTGGGGCTTGCTCCTCACTTGCCGCCTCGCCAGCCCCCGAGCCCGCCCGGCCCTCCTCCTCCTCCTCCGCCTCCTCCGCCTCCTGCCCTCCGTTCCTGTGCCATGGCTGGAGAGCAGACAGCTGCGCCTGGCTCGCCTCTTCGGACGCGTCAGTCTCCCGGAGGGAAGGAGGAGGAGGGAAAGGAGGAGGAGGAGAAGGGGGGGGGGGCACAGGCAGAGGCAGAGTCTGGCTTGGAAACAGGGGAGGCCCCGGGGCTCCCTTGAAGAAGAGAGGCGGCAGGGAAAGGCTGCCTGGCTTTGACCCCAGGCAAGGAGATGGACGGGTGGGGAGGAAGCCCATCTTTCATTGCTGCCCAGTTTAACATAGTAGGTTAAAGCGCTGAGCTGCTGAACTTGGTGACCAAAAGGTCGCAGGTTTGAATCCAGGGAGTGGCGTGAGCTCCCTCTGTTAGCCCCAGCTTCTGCCAACTTAGCAGAATAGATCACTTCTTTTAGGGCAAAAACTTTGGGTGTAGGCATGTCTAAACTATTATTAAAAACTATTATTATTAAAACTATTATTTAAAACTAATATTTTCATGTTGCACAACCGCGTCCGCCATCTTAACGAATCAATTCGTTAATATTTACGAAATTTCGTAAATACCGAAACTTTTTTAGGGGAAAGTTTTGTAATTATTTTAAATATCGAAACAAAAAAACACCCCAATTACAAATCGATTTTAGAACCAATTTTTTTCTTGATTGCCCAGGCCTAATAAACAGGAATATGAAACAGAAATCTTGACAATATGGAAACCATGAACTTGGAATCATGAACAGGAGACCATTCCCATTAGCAACACTGTCTCCTCTGAAAGGCCTGAAACCAAAACCGCTTAATTTAAGCCTACCCAGGCACCCTTACTTCATGTCTAACACATCTGGATTTCAAGGTCTTATCGTGAATCCTCCGAGAATATCTAGTTTGCCTGCTTTTCACACCCTACATTCTTAAGTCTAATCTACACTCCCTTGAAAACTCCTCGGCTTCCCAAGATCTTTTCTCAAGGGAACCGGTACTTTCAATTTTCCCTATTGCCTGGGAACCAGGTGAAGAATTCAAAACATCAGCCTTGTCTGCCTGCAATTCCCCCCGAACTCTCACAGACTCCTTGTTTTGGAACCCCTCATCCCCCTCATCCTCTGAATATTCAGAAAAATCCTCTGATACATGCCAGACTACAACATAAACTTCTTTTTAAAATATTGGTCATTCTACTGAGTCAAAGGCTTTAAAATATCTAGTGATATTATTCCAGTTTTTACCTCTTTTTCTTTTGTATAATGAATTATGTTTAGTAACCTTCTTATTAAATCTGCCATTTGTCTTCTTTTCATAAATACATTGTGGTCCTTTATAATATATTTTCCTATAAACTCATTCAGTCTTTTGCACAATAACCGCTGTAAATATGTTCACATATTGGTTTATTAATGAAATTGGT